TTTAATTGTATATCTATATATATCAAAGAAAGTCGTGTTAATTACACTATTTATAACTCAAGAACGGCTATATCGATTTAGATGAAATTTGGCAGGGAGGTAGCTTAGAACCAGGAGACGGACATAGGATACTTTTTATAGAATACTTTTTTTACTTTTTACCGAAAATCACGAACGGGAACGGGGGAAAATGTGATTGCGCGTACGAAGTCGCGGGCAGAAGCTAGTTTTACATATATCTAAGTAAAATATTTCAGTTATCTCTAAAGTCCCACCTAAATCTATATTTTCTATGAACATTGGTTTAGCAATTTAGACGTTAAGGTACAAAAATATGCATTTATAATATTTTATTATTATTCTAGGCAAAAGGCTCACCCTCTATTACGTGGGACTCATAACATAAATAGTGAAAAGTGGGTGTTACATAGTACAGTGGCATTAAGTGCCGTGATGTGCATCACTGCCACCTCTTCGGGGGTAAAAGGCGTGATGTTATATTATGTTATTTGATTTTTATAATTAGTTCGTCATTTACAGCCTGTCACATTCCACTCTGGAGTATAGGTAAGCCTCTTCTACGTAAGAAGGTTCAGGTTTATCAGATAGCGCTGCAGCCCGGCCTCTCTCTGTTGACTGGGTCTTATAATAAAATGCATTACCAACGAATTATATCCATAATATAATAGTCTAATTATAAACATTCATTGACTATGGTCATCATATAATACATTGATTTCCTTTCAATTGAACGATCTTCCAATAATGTAATAATATTTAATGTTATTTGAGTTTAAGATTTTTTGTTATGGAAATGTGATCATAAATATTGTTTGCTAGCTTTTGCCAGGCTTGGCCGGCGTGCCAGTATAATACTAGGATTCCTATATACTTCTTTCGCTTCATCAACAGTCATCAATCTTTTCATGCATGCTCGTCGGTTAATGGTACTTTTAATTTGGCTCTCTTTACAAACAAACATGCACACACATACATACACACTTTCGCATTTATAGTTCTACTAGCTTTTACCCGCAGCTTCGCTCGCGTCACTAAAGGATAAAAAGTAGCCTATGTAACATATACTTATACAGATAGCGCCATCTATACCAATTCTTTAGTTTTCCCTCGGGAATATCAATTTTTTTCCGGAATAAAAAGTACCCCATTATTTAATCCGGACTTCTAACTTTACATCTGCAAAATTTCAAAGCAATCGGTTTAGTAGTTACGGCGTTAAAGCGGAACAAACAAACAAAAAAACTCACTTTCCGATTTATAATATTAGTAAGGATTAGTAGGATGTGTCAAGTTATTTAAATAATATTTTTATTTGTAGGTATATTGAAGGATTACAATATGCTTTGCGTCATTGCTTTGTCAATAAATAAATAAATCAATTGCTTTTGTACAGTTTAGTCGAAAATTAAAATTTGCATATTTCATTTGCCTCGTTGGCCGAGTGGTCGCAAATGCGACTGTCGAGCAAGGGGTACCGAGTTCGATTCCCGGGTCGGACAAAGTATTACGGTATTTTTTTAAATAGTGAAAAGTATGTTACATTGTACAGTGGCATTAAGTGCTGTAATGTGCACCTCTGCCTACCCCTTCGGGGATAAAAGGCGTGATGTTATGTTTTGTTTCATTTACTTTGTGTGTTAAAGTTACATAACTGTTCAATGCTATAAGTGAGTTGGTCGTACAGTGGCCAGCACAACAACCTACCCCAGTCTGTCAAAATTATTCATTGAATTTTCGACTTTATGTCAATATAACAAAGTTGAATATGTAACAAAGAAAAAATAGGCTAACCTGCTCTAGCTATTGTGCGTTATTGTGAGATATATAATATATATATTGTTTATGATTTTCTCTTGAAACCAATCACAATGTCAATGCAATTTCAATCCAATAAAATTTCAATAATTATTCAATATCAACACTATACAACCCCTATCGTAGCTGATAAAATAGCACTCAGAGTACGGAATATAAAGCCAAACTCAATACCATTAAGTTGATTTAGTTTAAGTTTAAGATTAAGTTGATTCAGTATGGATACTGAATCAACCATTCAAAATCGTTTCAAAATCGCCCATTGCATCCGTATTGCGTCCACGCAATGAACCGAGTGAATAGGTTGCTTATGGACGACATGCTCCATCGTAGAAGGCATCATCGGTTACCACCAGGCGAGATAGTGGGCAAACGTCGGCCCATCAAATATAAAAAAAGTAATTCAATCGGTCGGCATTGGATTCAAGAGTAAGCCCCCTAATTGGCTGCTTCAAGCTAACCAACCAACCAGGGCTAAAAGCTGTGATCACATTTCTTTAATAAAATGTTATTTAATGTAAAAACATAGGTCACAATTTAGTTTTTTCCTATTGCTATAGAATTTTATGATTTAAGTACGAATGCAATTGTCTTATATACATATATATACTAAATCAAACTTTGATTGTGTAGTAGGCCATCGAGCCAAATCATTCGTCCTTTTTGGCTATTTAAGTAAACATATACACGAATACCCATTTTTACGAACCACAGTTAAATTTTAAAGAACCCCTAATCTAAGGTAGGTGGCACATAACGACATTTTGGTTTATACCTATCTACATTACATGCGACACCTAACGTCTCTGTGTCGAGAGCCATGCTGGCTCTCCCACACTTGAAATTTTTACAAACCACTACCACTATCAGTGGTAAGTGACACCACGGCCGAGCACAACACCGACGTGAAACAACGCTTGCGTTGTGTTTCGTCTTGTAAGTGAAGTTACTGAAGACCCAACGCCCCTCTCTTCCCCAATCCCTGCATCCTCAACATTCCTCAAATTCCTAAAGACTGGTAACGCACTTGTAACGCCTCTGGTGTTCCAGGTGTCCATGGGCGACGCCGATTGCTTACCATCAGGTGATCCGTCTGTTCGTTTACCGGCTTATCCCATAAAAAATAGTCTATAATAGGCGTGTCGACGGGGTAAAAAAATCAAAAAGTAATTAGTCCGTCATTAAGATCGCACGAAAATATCAGACACGTATTTTTTGTTTTATCAAATTAACAGAAGAGAAGAATACGTAGTTATTCCGCATTAAAGTTAGGGAGTGGGGGGTGTTGACGTCACACTTACGGAGAAATCGTACCTAATTGTGACGTCACGCGTCATTTTAACTCAAAATATCTACATGTTTTTTTGGATACGAGAAAAAAGAAAAAATACGTATCGAAGATTTTTAAAATATCTAAAAGACGGACAAAAAATTAAAAAATAGTCGCCATGCCTATTGTAAGTATATTATGTTTCATTAATTCTGTAGCCAAAAAGGAAACTTGGCTTTGGCTGTCGTTCGACAGATGTTGTAAGAAAACGAATTGCTTTTTTATTTAAGCGTCAAGAATTTATTATGTAAATCTAAATTACACAAAATAATAATTTACCAGGAGATAGAAAAATTGTATTGTAATTATTTACGTTGTGTACCGTCATGTGTGTATGATGTCACCAAATATACTCTGAATAAAGTATTAGGTTTTCGGCGTACTACGTAACTCTTTGACGAGGAACTTGACTAGTTTCAAGCCATGGTGGAGGCTCATATTCATGAGCAGCATTCCGCGACACGAGACGCGACAGCTGTCCCGCTACTACTAATTCCTCGTCAATCAGTTAACACGTTATACGCTATGGTGGTCACCGGTGACCGACGTTAGCGGAGGATTTACCTTCAACAGTTTTTTATTGGCAGTCAAAGTCTTAAGTGAGTTAACCAAAAATATGCTAATTAATTTAGTATGTCTCACAAATGTTTTAATTTAAACAAATATATAATATAGGTACTCTGAAAATAATATCAAAATTTCTACACAGAGAAGGTTAAAGAGGTATATCAGAGAGCTTATGTGGCTCTTACGACATTTTGGAAATACTTTACATTACATAGGGTTATTTTACATATATTTGATGGCATCATAATGTTTATTCATTATGACAATGATTCTTAGATCCATTTATATGTCTAGATAGATTATTAAAAAAACTATAAGTTTATTTACTTTACTGTTTGAAGGAAAGAAAGAAAAATCATTTATTCAGTACCAGACACGTGTTAGTATGTAGATTGTAGGTACTAACAGAAGAATTAGTTAATAAGATAACTGGACTAGTTTCAAAGCTGTCCTCACTAAAACCACTCCGGTGGCCACCCTCAGCATCTATAAGGGGCACCGAGTCCTCTAATAAACCTGCTCTGGGGCCCATACAGTGCAACGCCTATTACGACACATCCCTAGGAACTATGAGCCCCAACCGTGGTTTGAAACTAGTCGAGTTACCTCGTTGAACAGTTATGTGAGCTTGCCATAAAACATAATTCATTAATTAGTTAAGTTACAATACAAAGCTATCTAGATATATAAATAATCCTAAGATTATAATAATTTATGTTTTTATATAATTATGATTTGCGCATTGTCCATCATTAACATGTAATATATTGAGTACCGTATAAGACTGTGATCTGCATTGTATTATATTATTGTGCGTGTATATAGCCCAAGTTATGTATTTATAACTTAATATATTAAATGGTTTTGTTTATTATTTGTTGTTTTTCATTTTTAACGGAATATATTCTTATTGATTTCTACGCCATACTGCCCAACTTACTCTTTTTATAACTGGAGTAATGAGCGTTGTTTCACGCTGCTTTTCTTTGAGACCGTGGTATCACTCCGGTCGAGCCGGCCCAGCAGTGCCGAAGCATGGTTCTTTGACTTTAAAAAAAGTAATTTATTAAGAAAATAAGAACTCAATACAGCTTGCAAAGGAACGTAACCTGTTTTGACATTTTATCATCATTCTATATTTCAATTTCATCATTTCTATGAATCATTCTCTTCCATATACCTGTCTCCCTCGTTTCCTTCAAAATAAACAAAAGTAAAAAAGAGACAAAAAATATTGTGTTACATTTACGTTTTATTTTATATCAATGTAGTAGATAGGTAAGTTCTTGTTCTTAATTGGTTTCTTTATCTTTATTACACACCTATTTAATAGATTACGTACAAACAATTCAACAACACAGTATATTTATAACATTCTTGCTAAACGGTTGATCTTTTGTGAAAAAAATATTGTAAAACAACAAATATGGCGATGACAGAAGTAAAACAAAATTATGGCGAATTTTTTGGCGGGAAGGAACCCGTGGAACTTATATTTGAAGATGAGCAGGTAAGGTTTATTTTTTATACGAGACAAAATAAATTAATTATTATGTTTTCGGCTTATTGATGTAACTGTTTGACGAGGAACTGAATGAATATGTGTCTCTAGCATGCCGTGAAACCGCGGAGGACTTAACGGGTAACCGGGGCTCCGGCTCGAAGGGCAGGAGTAGGAACGGGGTGGTTTTTAGTCAGTAAGAGTCTGACACACCCTCCCGCCTCACCCAGTTGAAAGAAGAGAGTCGATGATTTTAATTGATTTTTCCCCTTAAAAAAAGCATGGCTTTAAACTAGTCGAGTTCCTCGTCAGTTACTTGAGTAACCTGAAAATATAATAATATTATTAATAAGGTTGCAATATGTTTTTTTTTGTATTTTGACGAAAATTACGGAGCCGCCACCCAGGAGAATGAAGTTATTGAACGATTCGAGGGGGGGGTGTGCCCTCAAAAAAAAGGAGAGGAGAGAGGAGAGCCTAGCTTAGCGCGCAATTCAAAGTGAATATAGTCAATTAACTAATTCTCGGCTTACTCACGTAAAAATACTGAGAAAAACGACTAGTTTCGAACCACAGAGGGGTTCTTCCTCATGAGCAGCGTGTGCGGTCGTACTAATACTACTAGTAGAGCTTTTCTTAGTATTTTCAAGTGAGTAACTCGCGATTTTTAGTTAATCTAGTATTTCGCAAGATAGTATGAATGATAGTCTATCATATTGATAGTTACTTGCTTTGGTACTTGTTTATTGAAATTATAGATAGGTATATTTATAAACACCCAACCATAAAACAGGACAAAATCTCAGAGAGGAATAACGTTTTTTAACAGACTTCAAAAAAGGAGGTTCCTAGTTCGCTATATGTATACAAGGTGTAGTTTTGAAACCGTGTCATTTCTCGGGGGCATGTCATAGAAGTCATAAAGGTTCAATGTAAGAGAAAATTTCGGGCCAATAGTTAAAAATACGGCTATAATAAATCGTTTAAGTTCCACAGTATTTTAGAATAAGCGACAGCATTGTTTCTTATTGGAGTTTTATGGAATTAGGAATAATATCAATTACGTGTTTGAGTTTGTGTGTGTTAAGGTGGTGTTAAGCCGTGTTATAAAGCTAGTTACAAGACGGCGGCGTGTAGTTCACACTTACGGATTTCCGTAATTTCAGAAAAATGAAAAATATTTACCTACAATTTTTTTATTGATTCGGACTCAGATTCGATATCCGAGTTACCTCCTAGAAAATGACGCGGCTTTAAAACAACACCTTGTATTTGTGTATGTATGTCTGTGCGCGATAATCTCGCGATTGGCCGAACCGATTTTGAAGCTGTTTTCAGAAAAGTGTTTGTTACTCTTAAGAGAAGGTTCTGTATATTAATTAACCGACTTCAAAAAAGCGCGGTTTGAAGTCGGTTTCTTAAACGTAACTTGTAAATGAATTATTATGAAAATAAGCGTTTATGAATTATTTTAGTATTTACTTATGTAACATACTTTTTTATGGCATAACCTTGTAAACGAGCAGACGGATCACCTGATGGTAAGCAATCGGCGTCGCCCGTGGACACCTGGAACACCAGAGGCGTTACAAGTGCGTTACCGGCCTTTTGGGGATTAGGAGTTTGAGGATCGTTGGGGATTCAGGAATTGGGGAGATTGGGGAATGGGAGAGTAATTGGGCCTCCGGTAACCTCACTCACACGACAAAACACAACGCAAGCGTTGCTTCACGTCGGTTTTCTGTGAGGTATCACTCCGGTCAAGCCGGCCCATTCGTGCCGAAGCATGGCTCTCCCACACTTAAAATACTTTTTTATTTTTCAGTGTGTGGTTTTCGATGAGAAAATAAACAAACAGGCGCCCGTACATTTCCTGGTGGTACCTAAGAAGGTGATTCCGACGTTACTAGAGATGTCCGCATCGGCTGAAGATGAAAAAGCTTTAGGTTAGTAGATCATTTGAGTAACTTTTTTTTTCATAAGCCCATCATTTCATTTGACAGCTGACTACTAGAGTGCTGGACCAAGGACCTCCTCTACATAGTAAGGGATTGCCATAATCTCCACGGATGGCAGGCGAGTTGGAGATCGCAGTTTTAAATAGTTCAGTTTTATCAGAGGCACTGCTGTTCATTCTATTGCCTTGTGTTCTATTTATTTCTCCGCTTTCAAGTCTATTTTTGCAAAAATATTTTTTCTATTAATTCATCAAAATCAGCAGTTAGGCATACAAGCGTGATAAAGAAACAAACAAACGTATTTTCGCATAAATACAACCAAATTAGTAAGATAATCTAAACAGTGACTAATTTTAGACGATAACAAAATTTCGTGTTTATCAAAGGACACGAGAATTTGCAAGGTTACAATATGGCCGCCAAACGGTTTTGGATTCGAGGTGAAACGGAATGTACTTGAACAAGGCTAAGGTCACACAAATATACAGCCTTGGCCTCGGCCTTCTAAAGTTCTTGAACGAGGTCAACCTTGTTTCATTGAATTCAATGTCGTTTATTATCTGTTACTGTGACGTCACAGATAGGTAGGTAATATACTCGGTAAGTAATATAATACGTAACGTCATGTGTATTATATTTTTATATTGTCTATATAATTTTTCTTGGACGTAGGCGGAAGTGTACCTAACATTGGTAAACTTTTTGTCGGGTTTTAATCCCATGTAGATGGGTACATATAAAAAGTGTACCTTACTACATGCTTTCTCTAGCAACTTATCCTTAGATCCTTTAATTTACTTATTGATGGTTAGTGGTTACATAGATATCTTATCTACCGATAAATTCGATCCCTAGTTTTGACACTGGGGTGAAATTATCGACATTAGTTTATCGATCACCGGTTATTATGATATATGAATCATTCTTTCTTTTTGAAGGCGAATAATCACCCAATGACTTCTCCCGCCCGGGTGAGGCGAGAGTGAGTGTCAGACTCTTACTGACTAAATAAAAACCACTCCGTTCCTACTCCTGCACTTCGAGCCGAAACCCCGGCAACCCGTTAAGTCCTCCGCAACGCCGTATCGGCATCAGCCCTATTAGGCCCCACCCACAGATTGGGACCAATGCCACTACCAGACTACCACAGCAGTCTGATTCTGATGACTCCTTGAATCATCTCTAGTTTTAAAGACACCTAGTCACTTCCCTGGCGCTACTTTCTTCACGCCTCTTTCCCTATTGAATCTAGAGAGATAATAATAATATATTTTAACAGATACTAGACTCGTCACGTTGTTACATCACCTAATTGCTCTTATTGGGAGTTTAGGTTACAGATTGCCTAAATTGATTAGTTATTGACTAATTTTATCAATAACAGTTTTTCGCCATATCATCATGATTGTTCAACACTTATCTTTCTTACTTTGTTTTTAATGTGTGTGCATGATTGTAATTATTTTACTTAGTAAACGTGTTCTGAAATTAACATTTCATGATCGATTTGCACTTTTGCGTGTTCCTCATTATGTACGAGTCCTATTGTCCCAAATATGACTGTCCTTTCGTTATAATAAATGTGGGAGAGCCATGCTTCGGCACGAATAGGCCGGCTCGACCGGAGTGATACCACGGCCTCACAGAAAACCGACGTGAAGCAACGCATGCGTTGTGTTTCATCGTGTGAGTGAGGTTACCGGTGGCCCAATTATTCCCTTCCCCAATCTCCCCAATCCCTGAATCCCCAATAATCCTTAAACTCCTAATCCCCAAAAAGCTGGTAACGCACTTGTAACGCCTCTGGTATTCCAGGTGTCCATGGGCGACGCCGATTGCTTACCATCAGGTGATCCGTCTGCTCGTTTACCGGCTTATGCCATAAAAAATATATAATGTCATACACATATTTATTAAGGCAGTCCTTAATCAGCAGCTTTGCACAAGTAAGTAATCAGTAGCTTAATCTGGTCAGGCATCATAATCACCATAAGTAGGTTGTGGAGGGTAGTCGACCATCGGTTTGAAGAACTACCGACATTCTGTTTGAATTTTTAATCTATCTGCAAATACCAAAGTGAAATGTTTGTAAATAAGCCACAAAAGGTAGCGACAGTTTTCTTGTAACTGGAGCTAAGAGCGACTTTCCGGTTATACCAACCACACTTTACCCAACCCGACAATTGAGTCACGCTTAAACTAACTATTAAAACTGAACTAAAAATAAATTAAAACGCAGGTCATCTACTGCTCGTCGCGCGCCGTGTCGCCAAAATGAAAGGCATAGACAAAACAGGATTCAGAGTAGTCATGAACGAAGGCCCACATTCCTGTCAAACTGTTAAACAATTTTACGTGCAAGTCTTTGGAGGGCGCCAAATGCTTTGGCCATTTTCTTAGGAAAATAAAATTTTGATCTCACATTTTTTTGTTTCATTCATTCTACAGATAACACATACTACAAGATCCGATTTCAACCTGTTATATTAGTATTCAGGCACAGTAGTGATAATGCAGAAGAACATTGTCACAGTTCATAAGCAGTTGCTGAGAATTTCAAAAGCCCATTACCCATACTTAGCCAATATGCTCTAAAAAAGTTAAAAATTATATTTTGTTTCAGGCCACTTGTTATTGGTAGCGAAGGAGATTGCTTTAGCTAGAGGTCTAGACAGGACCGGTTATCATGTCATGGTTGATGAGCAGCATAACAGCAAAACTCTGAAATCTATACACGTTTTTGGAAGAGCACTTCATCATATGCTGTGGCCTGTTGGGCCTGGGTGTAGGTTATAGACTGAACTTGTTTAAAATAGAATGTACATATTAGAATTAAGTTATAATTTTAAAAGAAAAATACGACTTCTGGTGCCGTGCGGTGCGGTGGCTGGGCATCCAGCCTGCAATGTTTCGCGGGTTCGATTCCCGCACGCAACAACACTTTGCGTGATCCACAAATCGTTGTTCCGGGTCTGGGTGTGATGTGTATGTGAACTCATATGTTTGTAAACGCACCCACGACACTTGTTCGTGTGTTCGTGTCTTGTGTCTGTAAACCTTTTATTGGGTTACTAGCTGTTGCCCGCGACTTCGTCCGCATATAATAATGACTTCTGGCAGAATTTAGGCTTTTGAATTAGTAGTAGTCTTTATCAAGGAATTTTATACGGTAACGAATGTCGCCAGAATTGATTCAGTACCTAGTACAGGGCTCCTCCCCCGTAGATGATAACGTGATAATATGTAGCCTATATATTGAGCCGACTTGTAAGTATTATTCATACAAAATTTGAAGTAAATTCATGCAATACTTTTTGAGATCATCATTCATCCCGGATATACATGGACATGGCTTCGGTATCGATTGTAGACCACGCCCCTAGTAATCTTATAAAAAAAAATCAATGTACAGTTTTGACGACAGCTACGATTTTATTATAGTATGTATAGATTTTTTAATGGAAACGCGTGGTTATTTGCTTACAAGCTTCGATATAAAAACCTAGACCATTTAAACAAATTTACTTGATCTGAGTTTGCATTAGTTCCATTCCATGCTATTAAACATATGTGTTATCGGTAGAATTTCCATATATACTGTGAAATCGTAGAAAAATTGTTAATTTTCGGTATTTCGGTAGAACAGAGCTCATATCGGTAGAAATACCAAAAATCGGTATTGTCGAGACCACTGTTTTAAGAATTAGTCGTACCTGTTAGTAAGCCCTGTTGTTAAATATGTATGTTTGCAAGTGAGACAAGTGAGTCATTATTTGTACAATATTGTTTATTAAAAACTTTTGTAAAAACTAGAAATACATTACATATTATTTATTTTATTATTGAACAGTCTTTTTTTTCTAAACCCGTGTAATGAATTTTTTTTTTATTTTTGAATGGCATATATTTCAATATAAATTATGCGCATATTCTGCGTGATACGAAACGCACGTGTCAAAAGAAAGTATGACATTTGACATAATGTAAAACTTGTGTTCTCCTGCCTGATTTTTCTCACACAATTTCACGAAACAAAAATGGCTAACCGTGAGGTTGAAAAGGCCCAACATGCCCATCCTGAGGGTGAAACTCTATTCGAGAAGATAATAAACAAGGAAATACCTGCGGAATTCGTTTATGAAGACGAACAGGTAATTTTTTTTTTAATATTTCTTATCAGGAACGCCAATAATTTACACCGGCTGGGTAGCCATCAGTTTCATATTTTTATCAGCTGTTGTAATATTCTTATTGGAGAAGAGAATCTTTATCTGGCTATTATAATACTAACCTAAACACTGAGTCAAAATTGCGACTAAAAATTTGTGAAAGTAACTTTATATTTTTTCATAGTGTGTGGTCTTCCACGATGTGAATCCTCAAGCTCCGACCCACCTTTTAGTGGTTCCAAGGAAACCTATCCCTCAGCTCTCCAAGGCTGACGACGGCGATCAAGACTTATTAGGTAAAATTCAAATTTACTATCACATTTTTTATTATTAATTGACAAAATTAAGGCCATAGTTTCCTAGTTTTTGTTTTAATGTCTGTCCGGTAGATTGATTTCACCTTTTGAATACACTGATATGAGACACAATAGAAAATACATGGTCTCGTGTGGATCCAGATCTTAGACACACGAGAGGTTAAAACACATATTTTTAGTTTTCTTACAGAATTAAACTGTCAAACACCAAGCGGTCACCGGTGACCGCAACCTATTGTTCTATAATTGTGTCTACAAAACCGGTACTTGACGAGTTAAATACTTTTTATGAATTTTATATATTTTACAGGTTACCAGAATATTGTTAATTTCCATTCCTAAACTTGAATTCGTTTTATCTAAGTAATCATATTTAGTTATCTGATTATTTACATCTTCAATTTTAATTTTCGTACCCTATCAACTACCATAAATAACCCTGTTCATATTATAATCATAGCCAATTATGCATTTTTTTTTTTTGTTAAAACCATAGTGCACAATCACTACAATGTTGTTTCAGGACATCTGTTAATCACTGCCCGGAATGTAGCTTTAGGAAAAGGTTTTGACAGAACTGGATTCCGTTTAGTTATCAATGATGGCAGACATGGAGCACAGAGTGTCTATCACTTGCATGTGCATATTCTGGCAGGCCGCCAGATGAAATGGCCCCCTGGCTAAAACTATAATTACAAAACCCATTTTCTATTAAAATATGGGGTATTTTAGCCTATGTTTTTAACTGTTCCACGCTGATATTGCCGGCCGTATTAGAGCTAAATTGCCCATTCAAGGGTATCATAAGTACTATATCTGTAAACCTAGGCAAACACTACTTCATATTTTTTTTAATTGGGTGGTATGATTGTTTTGCTAATTATTTGCTTTCATTTCAATATTATTGCTATAACGAATGTTAACAGATAAATAAAAAAAGGGTTTCAAGGTGATTGTTGTTTTATTTAAATGATATACTTCTTTATGTAAGTTCTATTGTTGTTACATCATGGTTGTCTTGGTTACAATCTTACAAGTGCTAACAAACTATAAAGAAAGATTGTACCTATTATCTCTTGTTGCTGGTTTTTGCATAATTCTCCCCTGCCTAGATATGAAACTTATAATACTAGGTAGTTCCATACAAAATTATTCATTAAAACCTTAATAGTTACCTAATTCACAATTTTGTGGACATTAAGTTATATCATTATGATATGAGCTTATGGCACCGACTTATTACCTATCAGTGGGTGGGTAATCTATCAGTACTAATAATAGTTATTTTTTGCTTTTTGTTTGTTATTAGTTTTTGGTTTTTTGAAGTCGGTTTTTTAAACGCAGTTTTTATTTTATTATTTTATCATTTTCAGTGTAAAGTTACATATACCCGTTTTGTTACTTATAATCTATATAGGTGCAAAGTTCTAATTAATACAAATTATACAAGCCCAAACACAAGGTAGTTACAGTATACCATTTAGGAGTTCCCTTAACAATTACACTTCTTCATCATCAGACCCTTAATGACAGCTCCACTCTATCTAGGTGTAAAGTTCTCATAAATACAAATTAATCAAGCCTAAACACAAGGTAGTTACTGTATACCGTTGAGGAGTTCCCTTAACAATTACACTTATTCATCATCAGACCCTTAATGACAGCCCCACTCTATTTAGGTGTAAAGTCCTCAGCAATACAAATTAATCAAGCCCAAACACAAGGTAGTTAATATAAACCGCTGAGGAGTTCCCTCGCCTGTCTATCGGCTCCATCATCAGGTCGACTCCAGACCCTTATCAAATTGTAGTGTTTAACAATCGTAATTGAAAAACATAATAGACGCATTACTCGCCCATAGAATTTTCGAAAGTTTCCCTCGGTTTCCCTAGAATCCCATCATCAGATCCTGACCTCATGGAAATGGGACCATTTCGGGAGTATACCCTTTCAAACAAAACAAGAATTTTGGAAATCGGTTCACAAATGGCGGAGTACTGCGTGATGCGCGAACAAACAAAAAAAAAGTAGGTAAAAAAGTTTTTTTGAAGTAGGTAAAAAAGTGTCACTCTAGAGATAAATACGATTTTATTAATAGTTAAATAACTTTTTTACCGAAGTTTAATGTTTTTATGTATATACCTATGTGTTTTTTTAAGGGAGAAAATCATCAAATGAATTCTCCCGCTTGGGTGAGGCGGAAGGGAGTGTCAAATCTTGCTGACTAAAAACGACCCCGTTCCTACTCCTGCACTTCGATCCGATGTCATTGTAGGTGTACCAACTAAACTTTATCTACAAAAAGTCCCGCATTGGACTTTCTGAAAGTTGGTCGCCTTAGATAAAACAATCTATAATATAATTATAATAAGATAGTAATTAATATTACTATTATTTTGCCACTGCCAGTAGCTGCTTCTTCTTTAAACAGGATTAGGGCTACTTGTGCTACCATTGTCAGAATAAGTTCTCCTTTTTGTCTTGCCCCGGTTAGAGCCCCCCTTAACAATATCTTCAAACTGTACGCTGTACGTACTGTGACTCATGTACCCTTCTTACATGTTCTTTCAAATTATTCAGGCTTGATATACTATGACTTTTATTTTGGTGTCTTTCGGCAGGCATCGCTTACACGAAAAAAGTATTTGCTGCCCCGATCTGGATACAAATACAGGTGTGGCCATGGATACTCATCAGCATCGCTGGAATTCGATTCCATGTCTTCCATGATATGGTTTTAATTACTACACTGCACAATACACTTTTTCTAACTAAATTACACTCTCAAACAAAACACTCGTCACTGTGAGCACCGGCGCTAAGTAATGAAATGATATTGATCAAACGAAAAAAAATCTTCGCAGTTTTCTCACTCGCTCGCGCCCGCCAAATATATATCTATAGTCAGAATTTTAATTAGATTCCAGATTTGACAATAGCTACTGTCATTTTGTGAAATAATGATACCACATATAATAGTGTAGTGATGGACACAAAAATCGATAAACAATCAGTGTGTGTGTTTTATAATAAACTAGCGACCCGCCCCGGCTTCGCACGGGTGCAATATGCATGTATTATACATATAAACCTTCCTTAAGAATCACTCTATCTATTAAAAAAAACCGCATCAAAATCCGTTGAGTAGTTTTAAAGATCTAAGCATACATACGGACATACAGCGAAAGCGACTTTGTTTTATACTATGTATTGATGTTACAGAAAGTGACAGGATAGCGATAGCGATGA